AATTAAATCGTTTAATAATTTTAAGTTTCTATTCAATTGCCTTTTATGTATTTATTTTTTTATGAAGTACACCTCGCCTGCACGTGACCTTCCGTTCAAGTAATGTGTCTAACAATAATCATTCATACATTAAGTTTTTGTTATTCATATTAATTAATATATAAGGTATATTTCATACATTGTCTAGTTATGATAATTACTGGAGAGATGTCATTATATATATAGTGTAATATTTTAATGTGATCTGTGAAGTACGTGTTATATAGAAGTCGATTTGAAATAGTGAAGGCAGCGTCCGGTTTTTGTGTATTCAAAACGACAATTTGAACATTATCTGTGTCAAGGTGTGGATCGAGTGTTGCGCAAACACTTTTTGATACAACGCTCGCTTGCGAGGTAATTAATTCGATTTGTGGTGTCGCAACAAATAATACTCACTGTATTTTATAGTGTGCTCGAATTTTATGCCTCCCGTGAATTGATTTACATTTTGAAGGTTGGAATGAAGATGTTTGTTCTTGTGTTCCTCTAATATATGTATAAATATGTTATAAAACGTCATGACGCCGTACTAATATTACGAAACTAGCGATAGTTTAAACGAAAACAAAAAATACATCGAGCATACAAATAAAATTAATATTAATTAATTCATATTATGATCGTCGATGATAGTAAGAAATTGCTATACATTTAATAACAGATGTATGTAATTACACGTGTGTGAAACGTGGGTATTAAAAAAAAATCAATAAAACTGTTTAACAATGTCCCCTTAATAGCTTGATGGCCATGCTCTCGATATCTCTCCTTAGATGGTTCACAAACAGACTAGGTCGAGGAAAACAACCGCTATGTCAGAGTCATAAGTCTTTTCTTGTGTATACATACAATTAAATACATCACAACTATCCTTCACACACTGAGAAAAAAATGAATTAATTGTATGAAGTATCAATATTATTGAGCTGTGTATCAAATATTGTTAATGTATGTAGCTGAGGCTGTATGGTCAGTTTTACATAGCATAAGTTTGTTGTTACGGTATGGCCTTTAAACTCAAGGTGTTCAAAATTTAACATATTTTTTTATATACGTTGTATAATTTTCAATGGTTCTATGAAGATATTTTAAGTTTGTTCACGATATTATATGTAAGTCTCAATTTCTGTTGGGATAATTTATTATTAAATCTCTGTTAAGCCGATTGGCAAAGATGCAAGAAAAATATCTTGTGTTGTGCACGGATCGATTTCTTATTGTTTTTCCTAAATCTATATCAAGAATTAGTCGTTTCATAATACCAAAAAATAATTATTTAGTTATAATAATTAAAAATCAAACTTTTGTTGTTGTGTGTAGAATTTTTGTCGTATTAGATTGAATAGCTTCAAAATATTAAAGGCTGGTTTTTCTAAACGCGTCCTATTAGTGTCTTTAAAAACCTGTTTTTAATAACAATCGAATCAATTCTAAGGTTCAACGTGTTTGAAAAAAAAACTCAATACAAACAATCAGTTACGTCGTTCAGTCGTGCAGCAAACTCCTTAATACAAGTAAAACTCCCCTAACACAAGTACAGTCTTAACGTTTTCACTTCATACATCATCGTATACATCAGTATGGCTGAGGATGGTAGTAATGACGTACTTCGATACTGTCCGTTTGTAGTTAAACAGTCGAGCTCGTGTTAGGCGTACAGACGTACCGCTTATCTCCAGTAGTAACGTCAGAACAACAATGGCGCCGGCCTTCGCCTACTTACCCGCTCATACGGATCGAGCCTCTTGGTATCATTTAAAACATATATTTGTATGTTCATCTCCCTCTCGATATTTATTAAAAAGAATTAAAATAATATTAATACCTATATGAGTAATAATAATAACAATAAATTTGATTTTATAACAACGTACCTATTCATCAAAATATATATTTTTTTTAATGAGTTACATTTTGTTTTAAGTTATACCTTTGTGACGTGATTTATTGTTAATCTAAGGACAGTTCCAATAATTCATATTTTACAAATCACACCTGTTGATTCTATAAAATTTCGTAAATTCCTCACGAAATACGAAAGTGATGGGATTTTTTAAATATTCTTATAAGACTTACAGATATTTTAATAACCAAATGTAGTAAATAACCATAGTGATTATTATAATAATTTTAATATATATATATACCTATTATGTGCTAACGTGCGACATAAACATTTAACCTACATAAAATTGTGTCGACTGCGGTTCGCTTATCCTCTGACCCGGTTTAAATGAACTTGACCCACTTTGAGCTACATATGCATGAATAATTTATATATATAAGTATATACTCTCGCTAAGATAAATACCACAGCGAGAAATAAATACGTATGACAAGGATAACGCCGCCATAACTAGATAATAATTATACACTACCAATTAATACCTTAAATGTAACTTAATATAATTTCTATTTAATAGCTAATGATTTATTAGTTATAGAGAACATACCATCTTTTATGATTTGATTTGAAATTATCGATAATTTTGATTTATTTATCTATATAGATAGTAAATATTGGTTGGTTTTATTTTACATTTTATTTTATATGGATTATTAAGATTTTAATGTTCGATTATGTTCTAGATTGTGTATATGTGTGTGTTCTACATTATAATGATTTAATTGAGATAACTTTCGTCGCTATAGTAATGGATTGGTGACAAATATAATGTACAGTAACCCAAGTATCCGTTTCAAAGCGACTTCCACTACCAATTTCTGTTCCCCCTGACCTACATTCGTGAACTTGGCACATATTCAGCGTAACCCTGCTTCTGGATACGTTATTGAGATCAAATTAATTTTAACCGTACGTCTTGTTGTTTAGAAGATGACTTTTCGTACTAGTAATAGTAGTTTCACGAGAGAAATATTACTCATTCGAAGATTTTTTATTAATTTTTCCTATAGTTAACATAAAATAGATTAATTATTCATGAATGATAATTAATTTTAGTGTTCAATGAAATAATTTTAATTTCTTATTGCTTTTCATTTAGTACTTTCTCTGTATATTTTAATACGTAAAATTTTTATCCGATGTTGTTTATTTTATTGCTTTTATATTTAGTAAATTTTAAACGTAAATAATGAATTATCTCTATTTAATAATTAAAAGTTTAATTAAATGGATTATATTTCTTAGCCCGTACTAATTATAGATAAACTCTTGAGTTAAATGCAAATACTATTGATCACACAATTGTGTCGAGGCCGCTGCGTTATTGAAATTGGTACGAAGCAAACAAAACAGCGTCATAATACTGATAAAGATATACATAAATATCATATATTATATACAAATCACACCAAAATACATCGAAAGCGACCCGTATAGACGCGTCTGAGTAATGGTTTTTTTCATACATATTTCAAACGAATATTTCACCTAATAATTCAAGTAAGACGTTATTTCCCATGATATTAATATACGTAATATTATTTAGGATGTCCTCCAATGCCATTATCGCTTTCCTATATGCCAAGGTCAATTATGGCTGGCTGTGAAATTCAATAATATACAGGGTGACTGGTGAATTACTATCAATATTTAAGGAGCATACTCGGTACATGATTCTCATTCGAATTATGTAAAAAAAATAGGTACTTAATTTTTGACAAAATTTCCGTATAAATAAATAAAGTGTTGACACGTTCCAAGTGTTCCTAGTGTGGACGCGTACGGCGGCGTGCTGATACAAAACCACGCCCCCGCTGCGTATGTGTGAGTGTGTGTGTATACCTAATCTGTAGGGTGTTCACACGATGCGTAATTAATGACATAACTTTTGGTTAACTTTACTTAGAAGTTTATTAATATTTATGTTATATTAATTTTTATTTTGTCATATATGATCGTCAACTACCACGTCCTCAAATATCGATAGTAATTCACCAGTCACCCTGTATACCCAGGCAGCCACGCTTGATATTCCCAGGGGGTAAAGAGTGATTGCCTATATATCCCTTCATATCCTTTAATGTAATACAATTTTGTTGATACATTTTTTATTATAATTATAGAGCTAATTAAAATTAAAATTTCATAATGTTGCCTACAATGAATTATAATTATTTATATTTAATTGTATAAAGTACCTGTGCATATAAATGTTGTGCAAGGTTGATATGTCTGTGTAGATTTTCCTTTCATCTCTACGCAATGCTACCTTGACAAAAATATTTCATCAATTAAATTGACGAAACCTTGGGAAAGTTACCGCAACCTTGGGTAATACAATAATATATATTTTTTTGTTGTTTTATATTTATAATTCAAATAACAATATGGCTATATTTTTATTAAAATTTTACAAGGAGTTATAGTATATATTTTTTTTTAATTGTAATTATTTTAATTATTGTTAGACTCGCCTTTATGTTTCAAGACTTCGTTGCCTTGATCAATGATTTAATAATATTATAAATTTTATACATATAGTGATGAAAAGTTAAGGAAAAAATTGTTTGAAGTAAAAAAAACTCATTGAAAAACAATATGTAAATGGAGTAAATATCATCAAATTATTGTATAATATTTTTTTTAGTTAAGACATTTGTATTATAATTTATAGTGCTTCTAATATAGTATATAGTGACTTCTATAGATATACAGATATCTAAATACACAATTCACGTGCCAGTATCTTCATATTAATAAAATTATATAGAAATAAACTTTATACAAATGAATCAACATATTTATAGTAAAGTTTCACTTCGTACAAAAAAAAAATTAAAATGTATTCTCAATACTAATGTGATGTATAAATTTTAAACGTGCAGCACCGACGCGTCTCCCGGAGCTGTCAATTGACATACGATACAGGAGAACATTATTATCTTACAGAGCGGCGTATCGAACATAAAACATATGTCGTACACGGGAACAAATACATGACAGCCTTCCTCTTACGTTAGAATGTCATAAGAGCACATAATTGTATACGTAGGACGCACCGAGCGACCTCGCCGGACCAAAAGCAGTACCACTGTCACTGGGTAACTGTGTCAGTGTGTCAGTAGGGCGCGCGTCATCTGCGGCCGTGCCCCCCTCCCCTCCCCCCGGCCCCCCGCCACCACAACACCTCACCCTGCCTCTCCCGCCGCATCAAGGTCCTTAGAGATTGCACATGGGTTTGCTCAACAAATCTAACTTCTCCTAATAGGACACAACTAATCATAAACTAAGGTTACAATTGATTGCAATGCCACCTAATGTATGCGCTGTGTAAATATGTGATATTTTTTCAGATACATTTATATCGATAAAGCTTTCAGAATAGATTCTTCAAATGCTTACACGTAATAAATAATTCGTGTGTTCAGTTACTTAGTGTGAATTGTGTCAATCGATCATAGCTTCTCCTTGGAAGATATCGATTATACAATTACAAGCGTAACTAGGTGAAAAATTTAATGCTAGAAAATTGCCTTTCACGTATTAATATTTCATGCTCACCTTTGTATGTAATTCTCCGTCTGTCGATTTTGCAATTGAGTCGTTCTTCACTGTAATTGGGATAATTCATTTGATGGTTTCATATTTTATTCTGTAGTATACGGACTGTTCATACGTTTTATCAGGTGACCCCAACATATGGCGGTAATCATATACAATTGGGTCAAAAAGTAAATAAAATAAGGCCGGCCAGTCCTGAAAATGTTGAAAAAAAAATCATTGTACAAGTCCATTTAGCAAATCCAATTTTATCGATAAAAACATGTTGTACAGTTAGTTGTATTAATTATATAAAAATATGTGTATTGATAAGACTCGATAAATTGGAGCGTAAACATTGTGAAGATGATATTCGCAATTTATTTATTAGTTCAAGAGAAATAGGTCGCTATTGGCAATCGGTGTTTGTCTCAAGCTAGATGCTATTAATAAATGATAAACAAGTATTTTATATTAACTAAACCTAGTTAACGTGACCCCTTTAATTATGATTAACTATAAATGCATCACAAATAAAACGGTATCCGATACTGATGATAATGTCACTATGTGCTAAACCTAAGTACCTGTTATGTGTATCATTTCTATTAATTACACATTTTCATATGACGTCATCGTTTGCAATTAAATACTGACGTCACTTAGTGGCCTTATAGTCATGAAGTTATAAAATATTAAGTCAATAATTGAAGCATGTCTTTGTGAAGCGTTTGCCTGTATCTGGTTAAGATTTATATCTAATTGGTGGCGAGTTTTGAGGCAATCAATAAATTTGTCAATGCGCAGATTTAAGGCGGGTCAGTAGTAGGGGCCCTGGCATTGATCGAAGTCAAGTACGATCAAAACTAACCTTATCACCCGCGCCCATACTGATAACAGTATTTTAAAAACATTAACAAGTCAATGATCTTTTTTTTTGTCTCTGTACGTTTCTTCTGAATTTATTATTGATTATTATAATTTTTTATACACCTTCAGGTGTAATGCTGAATTTTAACTAACTTATTCCTTAATTTTTACTAAAACGATTAATGTGTACCCTTAACATTTTTGACTAAAATATTAATCGGATTATTTACCGTTTAACTTTTAAGATTATATTAGATGAAAGACAAATGTCTATATTACGGACTTAATAGAGATATTTATATTAAAAAATCCGGGGTGTGGATGATTATTACATACTTTCATTCACCCCTTATATACATATATATATATATATATATATATATATATACATTATTTATATTTGGTTCTAAAGATGTTATTTATGACAATTCTATGACAGTGTGAATTGTTTCTTAGTCCAAGAATATTCGGTTGCTTGTTTTGCATGTATCTGTGCTGAATAATGCCTTTGAAATGATTATTCCGAATGAGAGATGAAGTATCGCCAGGTCGATGTGCTAGATTATTTATAATCATTATTTTATTTAAACTGATATTAGTAGTTTAAATAAAAGTATGAAAAGAAAATATATATACTAAAAATTAATGTCGTTGGTAAGGCTTAAACATTTAATATATCATTTTAGGTGAACAAACTGGGTTATTACTTATTATTAATTATTTGAGATGCTAAGATTTATTGTATAATAAGGAGATAGTTCCTTTAGCATAATATAATATTGACTTGAATTACATATTAATTCATATTCCCAAGAAATTATTGCTGTAACCTCATTATTTGGTACTCTTTTAAAAGTGCCGAAATTGCAAGGATATTAAGTATTACGGCGGTATTAAGTAATTTTAATTTCAAGTACAAGGAGGCTCTATAAGAATATGTAAATAATTGTATAGATATGAACATTTTATAAAGCCTATTGAACATTCAACTGTTGATTTCTCAGAATCTTTGTCAATTCGTGATCGAACGATACATTCCATTCAACTATCATTTTATGAACTGGTCAATTAATTCTGTATCATGACAAACAAACAACGTCTGATGTTATGTATTTTGTTCCTGAGCTTATACTATATGTTCGAAATTCTTAAATGTCTGGAGCTAGTACTATGCAATGACTCTTTTCGTTGTTCGTCAAATAAGTTACTCCTATTAATAGAAAATGTCTCAAACAAATGATATTAGTAGTACGCGAAGCTATTTATTTAATATTTTCAATGTATGCCTCTACTGTCTGCTTCTATGACTGGGGTCAAAGTTAGACAAGGTATCAAAGAGGGAACTATAAGGGTCCTTCTAAAAACACAGTTCACTTTCTATGTATTAGTATCATCATTACGCTTACTACAAGTTTCTACTCACATTACATAGATAGCATTTCTATGCGTTACAATATTACTAATATAAAAACTGTGAACTATTTATTGACGTTGGGAACTTATGGTAAGCATAGCAGTTAACTGGAATCAATGCATAACTTAAGTATAGGTGTTCAGACGTAGGGTCTACTTGTATTTAAATTTAATTAATCTCATAATCTGAGCTATAGCCACAATTCAGATACATTTTTTTCGTATCAAAATAGAAAAGTCATTATTGTAATTAAATTTTTCTTATTATTTGTTTTGTTTTATATATCAAACTATTTAGGTTGAGTAATTAAATATTTTTTATTAAATACAATTTATAAAAATTTAGAAGAAAAAAATGATTTATACAATAATTTGAATAATAATCAGTTTCAGTATGAATAGGTCCATCGAAAATACGAAAGCGTTTATTTATTTTAATGAGATTTATTTCGAATGCATATTGTAGACTGATAATTAATTACTAGTTAAGATAATAACTATAAATGTAACTTTATTGTTAACAATACATTTCTTACATCACTCGTTATAACTGAATGAATGAGTTATGTCTATTATATATCTGTTGTCATATAAAAGTAGAAAAAAAGATATTTTTATAGGTAGGTAATTAAAGCCCAATAAGATAAAAAATATATATTTTTGACCTTCAATATAGAAGGGGATAATTAAATTAAATTATTAGTTTAGTGAGACACCACTTTTATTACAAATACCTATTAGTTCCAAAATTAACCTCTTAATATTTTTCCTAACTAAACAAACATAACATGTGCAGAATTTCTCATCAATAATATAATTTGTATTAATAAAAATAAATAAAATCGTAAACCATTGACGTATGAATGCACATTGTAATATGTTCAGCGGAAAAAATTAATGAATAATAGTTACGTAATTTTATTGTATACGTATTTCTATATTTAGAACAAAGCTAGCTTTGGCTGTTGATTTTATAGTAAAAAATATTTTTTTTTATATCAATAGATATGAGTGCGCGTGCGCATTTCGAAATGAGCATACGATTATTGTAGATCCAACATCTAATGCGCATTTGTAGACTGCTAGAATATTGGCTTTAGGCTTTATGTATCATTATTTTATTTGATAACCACATATCATCTCTATGAAAAATGTTACTTTTGTAACTAAAATTAATTTTTACCTGAACAAAAACTTAAAACCCTAAATAATTTTTTTGTACATGAATTCCTAATGTGTAGGAAATTAGTCATTAAGAGACGAGGAATTCAATTTAGTAATACAATTTCTCTAGTGTCTGTTACTTATACGTATATATATACTTATACGTATATATATGTTATACGTATACTTATTGTGGATCTTTCTAGAATGTTCTGGTAAATACATATATAGGTATAGCATGCAGGTTTGAACTAACACCATAACGTTTAGATACGTTAAATTAAATGATGAGGTGCAGTTAATATTTGATTTATCCATATTAAGCAGCTTTCTGGCAAATGATTTGTTTCCGTTGTTTCTTTAGTGAATCGTATAGTCGGCGGCGCGTCGTTTCTACCGACAGCCTTGTGCCACTTCCAGATGTCTGATATGTTTGTATAGTTGTATGTTCTGCTGATTATGCAGCACGCTCGATCTTTATGTATAGATTCATCGAATTCTAAACTGACGATGTCAATGAATCGTATCGGTGGTGTAAAAATAAGGATGCATGAATACACATAGAGATCGTTGGGAAATACGTCCGTGCGAATGTTGAAATGTTTTAAACTAATGTACAAGTTAAACGTATGTCCATTTGTGTGTGTAATTTACATGTGAAATATTTCATTAGTTAGTATTAGTAGCTCTCGTTTAATTGTCGGTCGATATCAATTACCTTGGATCGATAGCTAATTACGCATTTAAAATGAAAGCGGTCTCATTGTTTGTATGCACATGTTGCTAGGTCAACATTAATATATAATTAAACAAGACCTCAACTTGCTGTGCAGTAAAGCCTCACGGTCTCTTGTAATATTCAGTACGTCGTCTCATAATTTTCTCATTATGACGAATGTAAGACATATTCCTGTTTATTCAAATCTTGTGGCAATCCGTAGGTAGACTCCGTATTCATGTGGGCCGCATCATTGAAGTGTTTTGTAATACGCTAAAATCGTGGTAACCAGGCCAAGGCTCTGCTTATTTACATGTACGTGAGAAATAGCGTTCTCAGTGTGTGTTTTATACTAAAACTCACGAAACTATTAAAATTGTATTTATAAAAAAACGTTTCCATTATATCAAACAGACGACAAATATTGTCTTTCGTATATCGAAGCATAATGTTTTGATACAATCAATTTGAATCGTTTGAAAAATCTCGATAGAGTTTTCAACTAACAATTGTGCTAA